TTCATAGCTTAGACTAAACACCATAGCTAAGTTGGGTTTCCTGAGTACTTGATTAAAACCAAACACCATATGGATAATCATACATAAGAAAGAACGAACTCCAGAAATTGTAATCAACTTAGGTGATTGTTAACTTGTAGCTTGAAATTGGATTGTCATGGTGAAGTTGAACCCCTAGTGCTTGTCTCTTTTGTCTTTAAATTTTCTAAACATCTACTTGCTGGTAACTTGCTATTTTGCATTCTCTTTTAGTAGTTTTCAGTTACTTGTTGTTTTGCATTCCCTTTTTGTAGTTTTCATTCCAACAAACTCAACACAACTTCATTTAAATTCTGTTTAGTCTTAGGGTTACTTGTGAGTCTAAGTAGTAGTAATAAGTGTTTTTCATCCAGGTCTCTGTGGAACGACCTCGTGCTTGCATTCCTATACTATAATTGGTTTGTGCACTTGCGAGAAATAGATAGAGTAAAATCTGTCCAACAAGAAAATGGTGTCGCTGTCGGGGACTTGATTAAGAGTCTTGTTACTATTGTTTACTTTCTTTAGTTTTTCTTTGTTTTCAGGTATTGCATGTGGAGCAAACCATTGCTTGAACAAGTTGTATCAGCGGTCAAGAAACACTCTCAATCCGGAACCATTAGGATCCAACCAATCCGTGGTATACAACAACCATCACTTGCTGAATTTGAACAAAGGCTTGTTGAAGCAAGGGAGGCAGCCATTGAATCTATTCTCAATCCCTCAAAAGCCGAAACCTCCAATTCAGCAAGCTCAGAAGAGTACTCTCTGTTCAACATCTTTAACTCAGATCAAGAAGAAGAAGAAGAAAAGATGGCAGCCAATGACCAACGTGCTTTGGAGGATCTTGCTCAACCAATCATACCAAATTCACCTTCATGCATCTTGCTGTCCATAGAAGCTAGAAACTATGAGCTTAAATCTTCTCACTTTCAAATGCTTCCTTCTTTTTATGGTTTACCTAACGAAGATCCTTTGGCTCACATTAAAGAATTTTATACTGTTGTTTGTACTTTGCCTTTGAAGGATGTGTCTGAAGCAAATATGAGGATGAGGGTTTTCCCTTGCACTTTGAAAGATAGAGCAAAGACTTGGTTGATGTCGTTAACCCCTGGATCACTAACCACTTGGGATGCTGTTGCTAAGAAGTTCTTGGAGAAGTTTTTCTCCGCCCAAAAGACAGCCACCTTGAGGTCCAAGATTTTCAACTTCTCACAACATGATGGCGAACCATTCAACGAATGCTGGGAGCGTTTCAAAGGAATTCTAATGCAATGTCCACATCATGGGTTACCTCTATACTTACAAATGCAAATTTTTTATGATGGACTAACCGAAACTTGTCAATCTACTGTCAATAATGCTGCAGGTGGAGCTTTAAAGAAAAAGAATGCTCAAGAGTCATATGACATATTTGAGATGTTGGGATCCAATGCTCAACACAAAGATACAAGAGGTAAAGCTGGTATTTATGAGATTAGTCCTAACAATGAGCTTGCTTCACAGGTGGCTGGTTTACAAAGGAAGCTTGATGCTGTGCTCAATATGGTACCTAAAGCTCCTCAAGTTGAAGTTTGTGCTATTTGCAATTCTCAAGGACACTCAACTCACATGTGTTCAGCTAGTAATGCTTATCCTGAGTTTGTCCAAGAACAAGCCCACATGATGAATTCTTACAACCAAAGGCCAAGAAATGATCCCTTCTCGAACACTTATAATCCTGGTTGGAGGAATCACCCAAATTTCTCTTGGAGCAACAATCAAAATCAAAATCAAGCAAGTTCATCATTCCAGCCTAAACCAAGTTCATTGGAGGACACAGTCAAGATGATGGCCCAAAATACTTTGCAATTCCAGCAAACTACTAATGGTGCTCTTCAACAACATTCTGCTGCCCTTACCAAGATGGAGATTCAATTGGGACAAATTGCAGATACTTTGAACCAAAGAGAACTTGGAAAATTCCCTAGCCAGCCAAATGTGAATCCCAAGCATCATGAGCAAGCCAAAGCAATCTCAGTTCTCAGAAGTGGTAAGGTTATTGATAATAAAGTTGGCAATGAAGTTACTAATCATGATGTTGTGAATGCAGGTGATGAACACAAGGAAGAGACGACACCAAAAGAAACAATTCCCATTGGCACGTCAACAATTTCACCTATATTGCACAAGGCCGAGACCCCTTATGTGCCACCAATTCCTTTTCCTGGACGTCTTGCTAAAAGCAAACAGGATAAGTCTTTTAATGAAATCTATGATATACTTAGTAAAGTCAATGTTAACTTGCCTTTGCTTGATGTGATCAGGAACATGCCAACTTATGCTAAATTTTTTAAGGAGTTGAACTCACACAAGAGAAGGTATAGTCCTCATGAGAAGGTATTGGTGTCTGAAAATGTGAGTGCTGTCCTTCAAAGAAAACTTCCTCCTAAGCTCAAGGATCCAGGCAGTTTTACCATCGGCATAACCATTGGAGATAAACGAGCTGAGAAAGCCATGTTGGATTTAGGTGCAAGTATCAATCTAATGCCTTATTCAGTGTACTTGCAACTTGGTTTGGGGAAGTTAAAATCCACCACACTCAGCTTACAACTTGCTGATCGCTCAGTGAAATATCCTAGAGGTATAGTTGAAGATATTTTGGTTCAAGTTGATAAGCTAATATTGCCTGCTGATTTTGTAGTGTTAGACATGGAAGATGCACCCAGGTGTTTACATATTCTTTAACTATTTGAAACAATGTTGGTATAATTATATATACATTGGTGATATTTTAAATGGTTACATTGTTGTGAGATATATAGGATATGTGAAAGGCATAATTATATCATGTGATGGAAATTGGTTGGAATTGTTGGATTGAGAAAATAATGGAAAAAGAGGGTAATAGAAATAATTTTTTGTGTAATTGAGTCTAACTCTTGGCAGGTACCAGATCTCAGGGATCCCACAGTGCATATAATTTTTTTATTGGGTGATAGGGGATTGGCGAGAGGGAGTTAGACAAGATTAATAACAAAAGGGGATTTATGGGATGATTGAGATGGGGGTTAGTTCATATAAAAGGGCATTCGGGACCAAGTGGTATAAGCATAGTATGGGACGTGCAGGTCTGCTTGTCCAGTTATATGAACTAACGGGAGTAGATGAAGAACATTCATGCATTATTATTAATAATGTGATATTTGGCTGTGTGATTGTATGCCATTTAATTTAGTTATATCAATTTATCGTAAAAAGGTTTACGTCCCTACTGAGCTGTGGTTTCATTCACCCCTAACAAATTTTGCAGGTACTGAACCTAAAATTTAGAGCTTGTGATGATTTTGGCATATCTCTAGAGTGTATTGTGTACATAGCTTGTGGATGAATAATGAGTGTATAACTGTGATCTCAAATGATGACGAAAAGGAGCCTATGGAAGAGTATGAGATAGAGGTGATTCTAGTTGAGTCAAGTGATGACGAGTCCACGGAGGAGATCAATGGAGAAGTGGTTCAAGCAGAGCCAAGAGATGTTCAGAGGAACAAGGACTACTAAGGAGTTCAATCGGCGAGTGCGTCGTACTATTGTGGTGGGGGTGGTTTGTAAGACCCTTAGCAAGTGGCATAGGTCATGTCATGGTTTTGATGTTTTGCACCATGCCAAGGCAAGCCAAAGGTGCATGGGAGGTGCACACGAGAAGCAAGACAATGTGAGTTTTAGGCTGGGAGTAGGGAGCAAAACTTGGCAGCAGTGCAGCAAGACATGGCAGTCAGCACGACAAGACATGGCAGCATAGCGCATCACAGGGTCGTGCAACGCGGATAGGGTAGTCCAACTAAAAGTAAGAGCTTGTAATCCTTTGCTATTTGAGAATAAAAGGTTGGGAACTTTGCTCGTATATTGAGTGTGAGAGTTTTCCTGTGTAGGCAAGTCTTGCTTGGTGTGTGTTGGTAATCACTTGTACCTCTGTGTGAATTCTGAAGCTTCACGAATTGGAGGAGCGAGAAGGCTGACTTAGGAGGAGTCTAAATGTAGGACAAGGGTCAAAAAATTAAAGGCGTTTTTCACCCCTATTACAGCTCCCACCTTGGTGGTTGATGCTACTTCGACACTTTCTATACTTATTTCAAATATATGGGCAATTCTTGTAACTTTCATGCCTTCTTGCTATGTTGGAGGATCTACCTCTATTGTTCCCACTAAGACGATTAGGGATTCGTCGATAGAGAATGGAAGAAGTCTAGCCTCGGTCCCTCAAGAAGATGCCTTTCTATTGTTCCCTGATCAGGTATGGATTAGCTATACTCACACCTTATTTTTCTACTTGGAAAACTATGATGCTCATATATATTTACTTGTAGACCTCAGGTGACATTTTTGACTTTATTGATCAGTGGGATGCTTCCTTATCTTCAGCAGAGGCTTCTACTTGCCTTTCGATTTCCTCCACCATGGTTGGAGCATTTCACGATCTTGGAACCTAGGCCCTACTTCAGTCCTACAGAGATTGAGATCTCATTGTGACAATTGTATAGCCAATATTAATATATATTTGAGTTAGTGTCTTTTAAAGGTAGTTAGGTCTTTTACTTATCTAGGGCATCTTTATATGCCTATATACTATAAGCTTACAACAGATTTATTATTCGATTGTTTTGTGAATATATTGGCATTCTCTACTTCTACTTGAATTGTTCACATGGTATCAGAGCAATCCTCCTGGGTTGCTGCTGGTTTTTTGTTCTTCTCCCCTTATGCCATCTTGATTCGTGTTGCTGTGTTTCCTTGTTGATTTGCTGCTGCGTTTTCTGGTGTTGGCTGCTTTTGTCTTCTTGGTTTTTCATATATTTTTGGGTTTCCGTTGCTTTTGGTTCTTGTCTCTTCTATATTGCTTTGCACATGGCTAGTGAAAAAGATGATTCTCTTCAAGCTATAAGCGTCAAATTGCATGGCAGTAATTATTTTGGGCCTATGTTATGAAGAACTTTCTAATGGGAAAAGGAATGTGGGGCTATGTCTCTAGCGATATTGTTGTCCCATATGATAAAAAAGCAAAAAAGTATGCTGAATTGTTGAGTACGTGGCAGATGCAAAATTCTAAAATCATCACTTGGATCAATAATTCTGTGGACATCTCGATCGGTATGCAACTTGCAAAATTTGGTACATCTAAGGAAATTTGGGAACACTTAGAAAGATTGTACAAGAGATCCAACTTTGCTAAATGTTATCAGTTAGAAAGTGATCTTCGAGCCACCAAACAAGGAGATAAAAGCATTCAAGATTTTTATAATGTTATGACTGGACTTTGGGATCAACTTGCACTGACTGAACCTTCTGGACTTAGCTCTATTGATCTTTATTGTACATACAGAGAAAGCAACGCCTTGTTCAATTTCTCATGGCTCTCCGAGATGAGTTTGAAGCTCTTCGTGGTTCTATTCTTCATCGTAATCCCCTTCCTTCTGTTGATTCTGTTCTCAATGAATTATTAGTTGAAGAGGTTCGCTTAACATCCCATGCTGGCACGGGTCTTCTTCCTTTGCCAAACCAGATAGTCTTTGCCACCCAATCCCAGCCCTTTCCTCCTTCACAAAATAAGCCACGCCCCAGAGTTGCAGCTGATGAATGCACCTTTTGCAAAGAAAAAGGTCATTGGAAATCTCAATGTCCTGTACTCCTTAATAAGAAGTCCCAACCACAGCAAGTCTTCCCACCCAAACGATCTCCAATAGCTGCAGTTGTTCCCCAGAGTTGCAGCTGATGAATGCGCCTTTTGCAAAGAAAAAGGTATTTGGAAATCTCAATTTCTTGTACTCCTTAATAAAAAGTCCCAACCACAGTAAGTCTTCCCACCCAAACGATCTCCAACAGCTGTAGTTGTTTCATCCCTTCGCGAATCTTCCGCCAGTCCTACAGTGTCGCTTACTGCAGAGCAATTTCAAAAGCTTTGTTCTACCCATCAGCCTAATGCCTTGTCCATGATTTCCCATTCTTCAGGTTTGCCTCCCTCATCTTCTTCAGGTATAACCCCATCCACTTGGGTCTTTGACTCAGGCACTACACATCATATGACTAGTGATCTGTCATTGTTTACTTCATTGTCTTCTTTGTCTACATCAATTCTTTTTTGACTGCCAATGGCACTTCTATGTCATTGGCTGGTATCGGTTCTATCACAACTTCTGGCCTATGTCTGTCTGATGTCTATTATATTCCCCAACTCACCTTGAATTTGATTTCTATTAGTTAATTATGTGCTTCTGGCTATGTTGTTCAATTTTCTTCTACTTCGTGTTATGTACAGGATCCTCACTCCAAGAAGCTGATTGGGACAGGCCGTAGAGAGGGAGGATTATATGTGTTGGAGAAGCTCCAGATTCCCGCCTTGGTGGCTTCATCTATTGATTTGTCGTCTTTTTGTCTGAGTCCTAAGTCGTCTAATTTTTACCTATGACATTCTCGTCTTGGTCATGTCTCTAGTTCTCGTTTGAAATATTTAGTTTCTACAAGAGCTTTAGGCAATTTCAGATTGTAGTGGGTGTAAACTTGCCAAATTTTCTGCATTACCTTTTACTAGAAGTTCTTCTATTTCTTTAGCACCATTTGATTTAATTCACTCTGATGTGTGGGGCCCAACTCCTATTTCTAGTAAAGGGGGTGCTAGATATTATGTTTCTTTTATTGATGACTACTCTCGTTATTGTTGGATTTATCTTATGAAACGTCGTTATGATTTCTTTTCTATCTGTCAAAATTTTCGCGCCCTTGTTCATATACAATTTTCTACTGTCATTAAATGTTTTCGGTGTGACTTGGGTGGTGAATATACCTCTTGTGCTTTCACTGACTTGCTTGCCTCAGATGGTACCATGCACCAATTCTCTTGCATTGCCACTCCTGAACAAAACGGCGTTGCCGAAAGAAAACATCGACATATTGTTGAAACTGCTAGGTCTATGTTGCTTTCTGCTGATGTCCCAAATTTTTTTTGGGGTGAAGCAGTTCTAACTGCCAATCATGTGATTAATCGCATTCCCACATCTCTCACCTCTGGCATATCTCTGTTTGAAAGATTGTTTGGTACCAATCCTGACTATTTCTCATTGAAAGTGTTTGGTTGTACTTGTTTTGTTTTTCGTCCTCTTGTCGAACATACAAAATTATTTGCTCTCTCTACTATGTGTGTTTTTCTTGGTTATGGCGACGGACAAAAAGGTTATCGTTGTTATGATCCTAGTGCACAAAAATTGTATGTCTCTCGCCATGTGGTTTTTCTTGAGCATATTCCTTTTTTCTCCATTCCTACTAGTTCTCCTACTTTATTGAATTATGAGCTCATGTATATTGATCCTTTTTCACCTACTAATGATGATTTCTCTTACTCTGACAATGTTAACATTTCTCCTGTTTCTAGTTCCCCTTCTAATCCTTGTGTTACTTCTCCTCCTATTACTCAAGTGTATTCTCGCAAGAAACATGTCGTAAGTTCTGACACTAATAATCCTTCTTCTCCTTTGGTGCCTACTTCAACTTCTGTGGATGTGGATCCAATAACACCTCGTTATCCTTCGCACACTCATAAGCCCTCTCATCGGTTTGGTTATTCTTCTAACGATTTTAGTTATTCTTGTTATTCTCATGATTTCTCTTCTTTCTTATCCTCTATACAGACTCTCTCTGAACCCAACTCCTATAAGGAGGCTATATGTAATCCTCTTTGGCAACATGCTATGAATGAAGAACTTTCTGCTCTGCATAAAACTGGCACATGGGATTTGGTTCCTCTTCCTCCCGGTAAACATGCGTTTGGATGTCGATGGGTCTATAAAATTAAGACTAAGTTTGATGGTTCTCTTGAGAGATATAAGGCTCGTTTGGTTGCTAAGGGATTTACATAGGAATATGGCCTTGATTATGAAGAGACCTTTGCTCCAGTTGCCAAGATGACTTCTGTTCGTACCTTACTTGCTGTTGCATCAGTTCATCAATGGAGTTTATCACAAACGGATGTTAAAAATGCTTTTTTGAATGGGGATCTTTTCGAGGAGGTGTATATGGTTCCCCCTCCAGGTGTTCTTCATAATCTCGGGGAGGTGTGTCGTTTACGGAAAGCTTTGTATGGTCTTAAACAAGCTCCTCGTGCTTGGTTTGAGAAATTCTCTGCTGTTATTGGTTCCCTTGGTTTTCAATCAAGTGCTCATGATCCTGCCTTGTTTGTTCGTTCTATCTCTGCTGGTCGTATCCTTCTCCTCCTTTATGTTGATGACATGATTCTTACAGGTGATGATTTGGATGGTATCACCCAATTAAAATTGGCTTTACATGATAAATTTGAAATGAAGGATTTAGGCCCCTTACGTTATTTCCTTGGCATTGAAGTTGCATCTTCCCCTAAAGTTTATTTTCTTTCTCAGTTTAAGTATGCCGCTGACGTTCTTCAAAAAGCTCGTATTACAAATACTAGAGTGGCTGATACGCCTCTTGAGCTCAATGTGCGTTATACTCCGTCTGATGGTACCCCTTTAGATGATCCTACTCTTTATCGCACTATT